AGTTTGACACGTAGGTTGTCGAGACCAATAATAAAGATTTGTTGGGTTAAATCGCGCCAGTATAAATGTGCAGTTAAGCCCACTCCGGCCAATTAGAGAGGTTTGTCACGTAAACAAAACGTGCCAATTAGTTACAAATTCAGCCTACCGGTGTGTTGGAGAGTAAATCCACAACATTTACAACTTGATGCACAGATGCGTACGCTATGCGTGCGGCCTGCAATCCAGCACTGTGAAGGCGAGGCTTGGTGGACCCGCGTGTATGTTGCGAAAATCCCTTCCCCTGTGGGTATCGACGGGACAAATCCTGGCTTTGAAGAAAGCAGCGCAACACATTTGGACGAAGTTGATCTGTCCCATCAGTATTGGAGAGTGTTGCTGAGTGAAAGGGGGTCAACACCCTCAAATAATCATTAAGAGAGGGCCCTCCAGAGCTCCCCCTAATGGAGGCCCTTCTGCCAGCTGTAGGTGTGCAACGAAGCAATTGCAGGGCTGCACCTTTACCATTGCAGAGTGGACACACCAGGGTTGTCAACAGCTATGCATTCGAGGCTGCAACCAGCACACGATTACTATTACGTCAGGAGACATTACTCGATTACTAAGGAAAATACAGACCCTTGCCACCGTTCCATGTGACGGTACACTGTGATTTTCTTGTACAGTGTTTGGTAGCTCTCTTTTGGCAGGCGCGGCGCGAGGTGAAACGTACATGCGATCCTTTGTCAATCCACCGCTGGATGAGAGACATTAAGTGAGAAATCCACATTTTTATTTAAAGCTTCCAGACATTATATTCTTGGTTCTTTCGGTCAAGTCACGTAGAAGGGAAATAATAAAATAATAAAAATAAAACAATACAATTCTCACAACGTTTCGATGGCAACACAAGCAATCATCATCAGGTGTGAAACCCACAGCAAGAAAACTTTACCGAAAGAACCAAGAATATGAATCCCTGCAGTCACGGAAGCTTTAAATCGAAACTTCCAGACATTGCCCACTATAATCTAAATGCACTGATTAACTCCTTCCCGAAACATTTTGTCCAACTTAACCGGTCTGATGCACTCAGAACATTCCATGATGCGAGAGCCGAGGTCATTCGAAAGAGGGTAATTAAAAATCAGTGGGGTATCTATAAATGGATCACCCGGAGTAGTATATCACCAATGAATTCACATTGGTGTTTAAATTGAAAATGTCATATTTTCAACTTCTTTCGTGAGTTTGCACTGAGAAAACAACATTTACAAAAGCACTTCAAAATAATGTTGATGCAATGTTGTTCCTATTCATCTTCTGAAATTTAACCCCAGGTGCATGTACGACACATTTGACAATCAAATGCTGGATGAAGGCCTCCTCCCCCCCACCGTGGAGGGTGAGGCGCACAGATGGGGTGCACAACAGTACAGTCCAACAGCCACCCGCTGACCTAGGCTGCCGTGTGTTTTCTACGTTCGCCCACAACCTGGCCATGCAGAAGCCTATAAATACCCAGTTGCACACAGCAGTTTGACCATACATCCTTGTGAGATAGAGTACGACTGTGGAGGGCCTTCTGGTCAGGAAAGCCTCTCGAGTCATGGACTAATGTACCACGAGACGGAGTGAAACCCGAATACAGAACCTGTCGCCTTGTGGGTAAAACTTAAGACACAACCCAAACGATGCAGCAGTGCCGATGTGAAAATTCGATCCACGGTACAAGTTCGGCCATCGCCAGACCTAGGCTCCATCTTCATCAACCATTATCTATCCACTGCTAGATAATAACTTTTTAACTCAGGAAAGTTTCAGCGAGTCAGAGATGTTTTGGTTGTAGGAAGGTCATGCATTGGGATGTATGGCCCACACCAATGACATTGCATGTGTTTCACTATCAGAGGAAACCGGAGAACCCTGGAGACAAAACCCCATGCAGAATACGGGGAGAAGATAGAAATTGCCAGAGGTGGGACAAAGTCATTGTTATGCAAGTCCAAGTCGAGTCTGAAGTCATCAAATTCATGACTCGAGTCTGACTCGAGTCCAAGTCACATGACTCGAGTCCACACCTCTGGAAATTGCACACAGAAAGGGTGCCAGAGTTGGGAATCTAACGCAGGTGTATCCTGCTGCGAGGCACCAGTGTGCCACTGTGCTACCCTCATGCCGTAGAGTGGAGGCCATCCCGCACCTCGTGACTCATGTTGAGAGAGGGAAGGATACCCACACTTTGACCCACCACACGCCACCTGCCGACCGCCTGTGGTGAACCCATTCATATTGCTGGGAGGACTGAAGCGTGTGGGGGGGGGGGGAAGAGATAATAAACTTCAGTATTGTTTCAGATGCCGCGCCGGGAGATCAAACTGGCAACCTCTCGATTGCAAGTCCAGAATACACCGTGGCTAAGGGCCCACATTACACCATGGAATACATTCCGACCATGTTCAATCCACCGCTGTATTAAACAAAACAAAGATACAACCCACGCACCAGTGTCGGCCACTATTTGACCAAATGCTTCATGTACCACGCCGACCAACGCGAGTTGACAAGAGCCGTCACGAGGGTACGCGGCGCGACCGCCCTGGGCCCCGTGCTTGGGGGGGCGGCACGCTTTCAACGCCAGTGTCAGCAGATGTAATAATTGCGGTTTAGTTTTAAGGCGTCTGGGGGTGTAGGGGGGGGGCACACATTGGGATTTTCCCTGGGCCCCGACCATTCCCGCCTATGCGGATTGGTGAAGGGGAGACCCCAAACCAGTCTTGGTTCAGCTAAACACTACCCACCGATATTTAACACGGAAGCTCCCGCGACCAATATCATCCATGCAGTTAGTTTTTGGGTTAGATCGCGTAAATATATAAATGTGTCGTTAAACCCGGCACCACCCGACACGGCCAATTCGTAAGGTTTGTCACGTAAACAGAACATGCCAATCTTGATTTGAAGCTTTCGTGACTGCAAGAATCCATACTCTTTGGTTATTTCGGTAACATGCCAGTTCGTAACGAGTACAGCAACGCCGGTGTGTTGGAGAGCAAAGCCACAACATTTACAATCTGAGTACTACTACGTTTCGCCAGTAATTACAACTAGCATCGCCTAATTATAATTACAACTAGTTCAGGCTAGTTGATGGAACTAGTTGTAATTACTGGCGAAACGTCTCAGATTGTCGTGGCTTTGCCCTCCAACACACTACCGGTGTGTGCTGTTACCAGAAACGTTCCATCACCCACCAATGTTCGCCGCAGCCGGGATTCGAACTCAGGCCGCCGACGTTCAGGGCGCAGCGCGTGCGCTCACCGCTGCGCCACCGCTCCCACCGCACAACAACAACAACAACATTGCATCATGATTCTTCTTAACGAATGGAAATTCCACGGTGCTGTGGGCCAGTGGAGTCGAACCCAGCGGCGGACTGGTTCAAGGCGACGCCTCTTGGCCGGGGACAAGAACTCGGGCTCTCATCATCAGCATCGCGGGCTCTCATCATCAGCATCACGGGTTCTCATCATCACCACAATTCTCATCATCATCACGGGTTCTCATCATCACCACAATTCTCATCATCACCACAATTCTCATCATCATCACGGGTTCTCATCATCAGCATCACGGGTTCTCATCATCAGCATCACGGGTTCTCATCATCAGCATCACGGGCTCTCATCATCATCATCACGGGCTCTCATCATCAGCATCACGGGCTCTCATCATCAGCATCACGGGCTCTCATCATCAGCATCACGGGTTCTCATCATCAGCTTCACGGGCTCTCATCATCAGCATCACGGGCTCTCATCATCGTCATCACGGTTCCATCATCACCACTCATCATCATCACGGGTTCCCATCATCATCACGGGTTCCCATCATCATCATCACCACGGGTTCTCAGCATCATCACAACGCAGCCGTGCGCCTTCATCCCCTCACACGCGACACAATTATAGCCACGCAATGTACGTGATGTGTGTGCTGTGTGTGGTTCGTGTGCTCTGTGTGTGCTGTGTGTGCTGTGTGTGTGTGGTGTGTGCTGTGTGTGTGCTCTGTGTGTGCTGTGTGTGTGCTCTGTGTGTGTGTGTGCTGTGTGTGTGCTGTGTGTGGTTCGTGTGCTGTGTGCTCTGTGTGTGCTCTGTGTGTGTGCTGTGTGTGTGATGTGTGTGTGATGTGTGTGTGCTGTGTGTGCGTGTGCTGTGTGTGTGCTGTGTGCGTGTGCTGTGTGTGTGCTGCGTGTGTGCTGTGTGTGCGTGTGCTCTGTGTGCTCTGTGTGTGCTGTGTGTGTGTGGTGTGTGTGCTGTGTGTGTGATGTGTGTGTGTGCTGTGTGTGTGCGTGTGCTGTGTGTGTGCTGCGTGTGATGTGTATGTGTGTGCTGTGTGTGTGCTGTGTGTATGTGCTCTGTGTGTGTGGTGTGTGCTGTGTGTGTGATGTGTGCTGTGTGTGTGATGTGTATGTGTGTGCTGTGTGTGTGTGCTCTGTGTGTGTGTGCTCTGTGTGTGTGGTGTGCTATGTGTGCTGTGTGTGGTGTGTGTGCGGTGTGTGTATTCCACATTGCTATGGCCGGGGCCAAGTTCTTCCCACCCATCCGTGTCACGCACAATATTCAATGTTCGCAATTCCATGCCTTGGCCTACCTCGGCGCCAGGCGATTTTTTTTATAAAGATGATTATTTCTTCAACATATCAACGTTTAAAGCAAACACAAATGTGTGTGTTTTACAGCACACAACCCTGCGATGTCGCAGCTGCGATGCGCGCGTTTTAAAACCGTAAGAAATTACGAATTCAGAATAAAACCCTCAAGGCGGACACGAGCGCGACGTGAAACAATAAGACGACGCCGTGCCAATTGAAACCTCCCCGCCCCCCGGCATGAGGGGATAGCGATAATTTTAATAAATAAAGTTAAACACGTACGCGTGGCGACCAGCGGCTTGCCTCCGATCGCTCTCGAGGCGGCGCAGACGCGTACGAGTGCAAGTTTGATGGCGATGTCTCTCACCTGCTCCCTGTTCGCCTCAGAGCCTCGAAGTCGCGCCGCACGAATCGCTTACCACTCGCCTCTTCCCCGTTGCTAAATTTGGACCCCCCTCCTCCTCCACGTCCTCGCGAGGCCCCGCGTGCACTCGCGAGGGCTGGCTTGCGCATGCGCGCTTGACGCGAGCGAGGGCTTATTTAGCGGGAGGGGCACAGATGTGGCACGGCAAGTCGGCGAGGGTTGGTTTTTTAAAGGGGACGCGTCCGTGGTGATGTCGGTGCAAGGCCAATAGCCAACCACCATCAGCGGCAGCCTCCCCCCGTGTTCTCTCTACTGCTGCATGGACCCCTCCCCCCGTGGTCTCTCCACTGCTGCATGAACCCCTCCCCCGTGTTCTCTCTACTGCTGCATGGACCCCTCCCCCCGTGGACTCTCTACTGCTGCATGAACCCCTCCCCCCGTGGTCTCTCTACTGCTGCATGGACCCCTCCCCCCGTGGTCTCTCTACTGCTGCATGGACCCCTCCCCCCGTGGACTCTCTACTGCTGCATGAACCCCTCCCCCCGTGTTCTCTCCACTGCTGCATGAACCCCTCCCCCGTGTTCTCTCTACTGCTGCATGGACCCCTCCCCCCGTGGTCTCTCCACTGCTGCATGAACCCCTCCCCCGTGTTCTCTCTACTGCTGCATGGACCCCTCCCCCCGTGGACTCTCTACTGCTGCATGAACCCCTCCCCCCGTGGTCTCTCTACTGCTGCATGGACCCCTCCCCCCGTGGTCTCTCTACTGCTGCATGGACCCCTCCCCCCGTGGACTCTCTACTGCTGCATGAACCCCTCCCCCCGTGGTCTCTCCACTGCTGCATGAACCCCTCCCCCGTGTTCTCTCTACTGCTGCATGGACCCCTCCCCCCGTGGACTCTCTACTGCTGCATGAACCCCTCCCCCCGTGGTCTCTCTACTGCTGCATGGACCCCTCCCCCCGTGGTCTCTCTACTGCTGCATGGACCCCTCCCCCCGTGGTCTCTCTACTGCTGCATGGACCCCTACCCCCGTGGTCTCTCCACTGCTGCATGGACCCCTCCCCCCGTGGTCTCTCTACTGCTGCATGGACCCCTCCCCCCGTGTTCTCTCTACTGCTGCATGGACCCCTCCCCCCGTGGACTCTCTACTGCTGCATGAACCCCTCCCCCCGTGGTCTCTCTACTGCTGCATGGACCCCTCCCCCCGTGGTCTCTCTACTGCTGCATGGACCCCCTCCCCCCGTGGTCTCTCTACTGCTGCATGGACCCCTCCCCCCGTGGTCTCTCCACTGCTGCATGGACCCCTCCCCCCGTGGTCTCTCTACTGCTGCATGAACCCCTCCCCCCGTGGTCTCTCTACTGCTGCATGGACCCCTCCCCCCGTGGTCTCTCTACTGCTGCATGGACCCCTCCCCCCGTGGTCTCTCCACTGCTGCATGGACCCCTCCCCCCGTGGTCTCTCCACTGCTGCATGGACCCCTCCCCCCGTGGTCTCTCTACTGCTGCATGGACCCCGCCCCCCGTGGTCTCTCCACTGCTGCATGGACCCCTCCCCCCGTGGTCTCTCCACTGCTGCATGGACCCCGCCCCCCGTGGTCTCTCCACTGCTGCATGAACCCCTCCCCCCGTGGTCTCTCCACTGCTGCATGGACCCCTCCCCCCGTGGTCTCTCCACTGCTGCATGAACCCCTCCCCCCGTGGTCTCTCCACTGCTGCATGGACCCCTCCCCCCGTGGTCTCTCTACTGCTGCATGGACCCCTCCCCCCGTGGTCTCTCTACTGCTGCATGAACCCCTCCCCCCGTGGTCTCTCCACTGCTGCATGGACCCCTCCCCCCGTGGACTCTCCACTGCTCCATGAACCCCTCCCCCAGTGGTCTCTCCACTGCTGCATGGACCCCTCCCCCCGTGGTCTCTCCACTGCTGCATGAACCCCTCCCCCCGTGGTCTCAACACTGCTGCATGAACCCCTCCCCCCGTGTTCTCTCCACTGCTCCATGGACCCTCCCCCCGTGGTCTCAACACTGCTGCATGGACCCCTCCCCCCGTGGTCTCTCTACTGCTGCATGAACCCCCCCCCCGTGTTCTCTCCACTGCTGCATGAACCCCTCCCCCCGTGGTCTCTCTACTGCTGCATGGACCCCTCCCCCCGTGGTCTCTCTACTGCTGCATGGACCCCTCCCCCCGTGGACTCTCCACTGCTGCATGAACCCCTCCCCCCGTGGTCTCTCCACTGCTGCATGAACCCCTCCCCCCGTGGTCTCTCCACTGCTGCATGAACCCCTCCCGTGGTCGTTCCACTGCTGCATGAACCCCTCCCCCCGTGGTCGCTCCACTGCTGCATGAACCCCTCCCCCCGTGGTCTCTCCACTGCTGCATGAACCCCTCCCCCCGTGGTCTCTCCACTGCTGCATGAACCCCTCCCCCCGTGGTCGCTCCACTGCTGCATGAACCCCTCCCCCCGTGGTCTCTCCACTGCTGCATGAACCCCTCCCCCCGTGGTCTCTCCACTGCTGCATGGACCCCTCCCCCCGTGGTCTCTCCACTGCTGCATGAACCCCTCCCCCCGTGGTCTCTCCACTGCTGCATGGACCCCTCCCCCCGTGGTCTCTCCACTGCTGCATGAACCCCTCCCCCCGTGGTCTCTCCACTGCTGCATGGACCCCTCCCCCCGTGGTCTCTCCACTGCTGCATGAACCCCTCCACCCGTGGTCTCTCCACTGCTGCATGAACCCCTCCCCCCGTGTTCTCTCTACTGCTGCATGGACCCCTCCCCCCGTGGTCTCTCTACTGCTGCATGGACCCCTCCCCCCGTGGTCTCTCCACTGCTGCATGAACCCCTCCCCCCGTGGTCTCTCCACTGCTGCATGAACCCCTCCCCCCGTGGACTCTCCACTGCTGCATGAACCCCTCCCCCCGTGGTCTCTCCACTGCTGCATGGACCCCTCCCCTCGTGGTCTCTCCACTGCTGCATGAACCCCTCCCCCCCGTGGTCTCTCCACTGCTGCATGAACCTCTCCCCCTGTGGTCTCTCCACTGCTGCATGAACCCCTCCCCCCGTGGTCTCTCCACTGCTGCATGAACCCCTCCCCCCGTGGACTCTCCACTGCTGCATGAACACCTCCCCCCGTGGTCTCTCCACTGCTGCATGAACACCTCCCCCCGTGGTCTCTCCCCTGCTGGATGAACACCTCCCCCCGTGGTCTCTCCACTGCTGCATGGACCCCTCCCCCCGTGGACTCTCCACTGCTGCATGGACCCCTCCCCCCGTGGTCTCTCCACTGCTGCATGGACCCCTCCCCCCGTGGTCTCTCCACTGCTGCATGGACCCCTCCCCCCGTGGTCTCTCCACTGCTGCATGGACCCCTCCCCCCGTGGTCTCTCCACTGCTGCATGGACCCCGCCCCCCGTGGTCTCTCCACTGCTGCATGGACCCCGCCCCCCGTGGTCTCTCCACTGCTGCATGAACCCCTCCCCCCGTGGTCTCTCCACTGCTGCATGGACCCCTCCCCCCGTGGTTTCTCTACTGCTGCATGGACCCCTCCCCCCGTGGTCTCTCTACTGCTGCATGAACCCCTCCCCCCGTGGTCTCTCCACTGCTGCATGGACCCCTCCCCCCGTGGACTCTCCACTGCTGCATGAACCCCTCCCCCCGTGGTCTCAACACTGCTGCATGAACCCCTCCCCCCGTGTTCTCTCCACTGCTCCATGGACCCCTCCCCCCGTGGTCTCAACACTGCTGCATGGACCCCTCCCCCCGTGGTCTCTCTACTGCTGCATGAACCCCTCCCCCCGTGGACTCTCCACTGCTGCATGGACCCCTCTCCCCGTGGTCTCTCCACTGCTGCATGAACCCCTCCCCTCGTGGTCTCTCCACTGCTGCATGGACCCCTCCCCCCGTGGTCTCTCCACTGCTGCATGAACCCCTCCCCCCGTGGTCTCTCCACTGCTGCATGGACCCCTCCCCCCGTGGTCTCTCCACTGCTGCATGAACCCCTCCCCCCGTGGTCTCTCCACTGCTGCATGGACCCCTCCCCCCGTGGTCTCTCCACTGCTGCATGAACCCCTCCACCCGTGGTCTCTCCACTGCTGCATGAACCCCTCCCCCCGTGTTCTCTCTACTGCTGCATGGACCCCTCCCCCCGTGGTCTCTCTACTGCTGCATGGACCCCTCCCCCCGTGGTCTCTCCACTGCTGCATGAACCCCTCCCCCCGTGTTCTCTCCACTGCTGCATGAACCCCTCCCCCCGTGGACTCTCCACTGCTGCATGAACCCCTCCCCCCGTGGTCTCTCAACTGCTGCATGGACCCCTCCCCTCGTGGTCTCTCCACTGCTGCATGAACCCCTCCCCCCCGTGGTCTCTCCACTGCTGCATGAACCCCCCCCCCGTGGTCTCTCCACTGCTGCATGAACCCCTCCCCTCGTGGTCTCTCCACTGCTGCATGAACCCCTCCCCCCGTGGACTCTCCACTGCTGCATGAACACCTCCCCCCGTGGTCTCTCCACTGCTGCATGAACACCTCCCCCCGTGGACTCTCCACTGCTGGATGAACACCTCCCCCCGTGGTCTCTCCACTGCTGCATGGACCCCTCCCCCCGTGGACTCTCCACTGCTGCATGGACCCCTCCCCCCGTGGTCTCTCCACTGCTGCATGGACCCCTCCCCCCGTGGTCTCTCCACTGCTGCATGGACCCCTCCCCCCGTGGTCTCTCCACTGCTGCATGGACCCCTCCCCCCGTGGTCTCTCCACTGCTGCATGGACCCCGCCCCCCGTGGTCTCTCCACTGCTGCATGGACCCCTCCCCCCGTGGACTCTCCACTGCTGCATGAACACCTCCCCCCGTGGTCTCTCCACTGCTGCATGAACACCTCCCCCCGTGGACTCTCCACTGCTGGATGAACACCTCCCCCCGTGGTCTCTCCACTGCTGCATGAACCCCTCCCCCCGTGGACTCTCCACTGCTGCATGAACCCCTCCCCCCGTGGTCTCTCAACTGCTGCATGGACCCCTCCCCTCGTGGTCTCTCCACTGCTGCATGAACCCCTCCCCCCCGTGGTCTCTCCACT